TCATCTGTGTTAGTCTGGGTAGACTAGAGAAACAAATCCAGGAAAGCTCATATGTGTATAAGAGCAATTCTATATGCAAGAGCAATTGAATATTGAGAAAATATCCCAGCCCAGTCCAGATCAAGTCCTTAAGTCCAATATTAGCCCCTGTGTCCAATATCAATCTGTAAATTCCTCTTCAGGCTTACACAGCACATGCAATGACGCAAACAGCAGGAAGATCACAGGCCAGTGTGTGGAATGTCTTGTGGATACGGTGGAAGCATCTCAGCACTGACGGGTCTCTCCACATGGCTCCTTCAGCTCCAGGGCTCTAGCAGAGCTCCATGTGTCTTGTCCGCAGGAATGTCTCGCAGGGAGTGTGCTCACCTCCAGGGAGCTATTTATCTCCTGAGTGCCTCCAAATGAGGTCATCAAGCTGTGACCTGATTGACAGGCTAAACTCCACCCCTTCACTCTTAAGTCTCAAATTGGCATCAGATTATATTATTACCCCACATCATTGAATTGGCCACTGTCTAAGCATCTGACACCCATTGTTTAGATAACTTTACTATAATATCAGCTCAAAATTACAAGTCATGCGCGTTAATTTTTTCATGTAACCCTTCAGGGCCCTACATGAAAATTACATTGCACCTTCATTGTTTTCAGTGATGGCAATGGATCTATAAGATGTTCAATGCCTCCCCCACCCCCAACCCCACCCTGAGCTTCTTCTCTTTCTATTAACAGCAAATCAAGATCACAGAGACTTCTGCATTGACCCATGTTGTTGTTCTTAGATGCCCTCAAGCTGGTTCCGACTTATAGCCTTCCTATGTACAGCAGAGTGAAACATGGCTCAGTCCTGTGGCATCTTTACAGTTGTTATATTTGAACCTGCTGTTTTAACCACTATGTGAATCCATCTCCTTGAGGGTGTTTGTCTTTTCTTGCTGCTTCTCCACTTTATTAAGCAGAATGTCCTTTTCCAGGGACTGGTCTTTCTTGATATTATGTCTAAAGAACACAAGAAGAAGTCTCACAAGAATCTTTCTTCCAAGACAGATTTGTTTGTCCTGAAAGTCTACCATGTAGTCAATCTTCTTCCCCAAAACTATGCATCAATTTTTCTGCCGTCTTCCTCATTCTCTAGCTGGCTTGCATACATGTGTGAGAGAATGGGAAATACATGGGTTGGGTCAGGCACGCTGTAGTCCTTTGAATGCCTTTAGCATTCAAAGAGGTGTTTTGCAATGGATTTACCAAATGCAATATGTCCTTTGATTTCTTGACCGCTGCTCTCACTGACTGTGGAATGAAGTAGAATACAACCCTTGACAACTTCAATATTTTCTCTAATTTCATAATAGAGCTTGGCTTCTTGGCTCAGACGGAAGGACGTTTGCTTTCTTTACATTGAGACGTACTCCATATGGAAAGTATATTCTTTGATCTTCCTGAGCCGGTGATGCCAGGTCTTTGTTTTCAGCAAGCGACGTTGTGTCATCTGCATGTCATAGTTCGAAACGAGTCTTCCTCAATCTGCATGCCGTATTCTTCTTGCTTGAATGCGGCATCACAAATGATCTGCTCAGCACACAGATTGAAGAAGGACAGTGAGCGCACACAACCCTGGCACACAGCTTTCCTGCTTTTAGACCGTCCGTTAGTTCTGGCT